TTTAATAGGTTGCTGAATGAGGAAAATAGATAAAAGATTAAAATATGATTCTTAGATGTAAAACTAATATTAATTTATCATAATTAGAATTTATTTGCATTTAGAATTTATGATTTTTCTCTAATTCTTTATGTTTTTCTTCCTTCTTGTTGGTTTGCACCCCCTACTGAGTCAGACCAGGAGTTCTGCTCGCCTCTTTTCCTTCGTCCTGAACCTTTTTGCTGTTTATCAAATAACTTTGAGCCTCGGCCAGAAAAAGAGACTGGAGCGTTTTATATTTCTGGCCCGAGAGGAGGAGGAAACAAGTGGTGGACTGAGGTCCCCCCCTCACACGGGACGTACTTCTTCCTCGCGACGCAGCGCGCATCAAATCAGACCATCATTTAAAAAAATTAAATGTGGCGTATACCTTTTATCATTACTTCAGATCTACTTGGCCTAGCAACACAATTTAAAAACTGGTTTAAAGTTTGAAGTCTCTACTTTTCACTCGAGGGTCTCAGAGAGGGCGGATCTTTACAGATAGTATTTTTTCCTTCCCAAACTTTATATAGGTCAGCCAGCATTGACAACGCTCTGCGGGTGACGTAAACGGCTCCGCGACATGGCGAGAGACGCATAAATCGCACGACACAACGACTCGATAATGAAATTCGTTGCCAGCGCTTTTAATAATCGATTTTTATCGATTCGTTGTTGTAGCCCTAAAACCAGTTAAGAGTAATAAATATGAGCAGTTGGACTAGTTTGTCCCAAGAAAAAAAACTTACTGTTCCACCAACAATCCTGCCCAACGGGTACCAGGCCCTTTCATCAAACCAGTTGAGGAACTCATAGAAGCCATTGGTGGTGAGATGATGCGTTGATCTGTAGTTGAACCTAAAACAAAAGAAAAAAGATGGTTGAGAAAATAAAGGGAAAGTGTTTACATGCAGTACATAAAAACATGTTTTCCATAAGATTTTAGTTGTGCACAAAGATTTGGTTTGCTGCAGGAGAGGCCTTGAATTGTTGGGAGAGAGAAAAGAAAGCTCCCCATTGACAATGTGAGTCTTTGTGGCATTGCTAACAACTTCTAAGGTCAGTCCTCAGAAAGAAAAAAAAAGCTAGATGAAAGTGTTTCACTCATACTGTGACATTCCTTAAAAACAAAGCCTGCTTAGTTTAGAGGTCATTTTAATTCCAACCACTGGGTTCCACAGAGACAAAAAAGATCTGATGTTAGAAAAGAGAAATAAATGAAACAAAACCCTAAACTAGAACTGCAAACAGTTATGACAGACAACAAAAACCTGACACATGTGCTCCCCCAACACTYTATGGACCTGTCAAATTACTGGCTTGTAGGGTCACAAGTCATAATCTTGATGCCTATTTGTGTCACCAAGCTCCAAAGTTAAAAGGGGAGTTTACCACAGAAACCTCTACAATAATTCCCGACACAGAGTGCCTCCCAACTCTCTCCACCCACAAACCCAGCTAGTTTTTTGTCCAATGTCAGAAAAAGTGTTGGTTTTTTAGAATTAGTAAAAAATGTTATCAGTAGCTGTGTTTCCATTGCAAATGTGTCCAAAACTTTGTCGATATTCTGTTAATGTAAAAAAAACAGTTTTGCAACTGCGGTGTTTCCATTAAGAAATGCTATTAAAGTCACACGTGAATACGTTTCTTCTCGCGATAAGTCATTGCAAACATGGCGGCAATGGATGTAAACACATAGCATGTTGCTACCACRACACTAGCGCTCATCATCAGAGGAGACGTCGGCGTCTTTTATCGAGGCTTTCCAGWGACAAGTCCCTACTTGGGAGTGGCTACGTATGCTGTGATTTTGGGAAAYTGTAGTCRGTGAGTTTACTATTTTATACTACTTCTGTGATATTACTACTATTTCTACTTCCWGTTATTTTCTTCTKCATCGTCTTTTTCGCCAGTARAAACAGTCRGTTGTTGATCACATGACTCCCGTGATGCGAAAAAAGTGTTTCCATTGCAGTTTTGCGAAAAACACCAATTTTGATACGGCCGAAATACCACCTCATCCTTGCGCAAAAACGTTTTGTCGAAAAACGTATTTTTTCCGAAACTGACGTGTTTCCATTGAGCAAATTTTTTTTTCGAAATTCTAATTTGCGTATTTTCATGGTCAATGGAAACGCAGCTACTTAAAAGACTATTTACTATGTTTAGAAAGAAACCACACCAATAATTTGACAAAAAATATAAATTTTATTGCTTATTAATGCATGTTTCATTGACTGATTAGTTACTGYATTTGCCTCTGTGGGCTTAGACCTCTAATTATAGAATAAGACTTTCAACAGGCTTCAAATCCAAAGTGTAACCATGTTAAACTGAGGAAGCTGGAATGCTGTCAAACAGCAGAAAAAGCTGATACTGTAGGAAGAAAAAAGAAAACTGTTGCTGAGGAGAACAAATTCTCAGAGGCGGCTTCTTCACCACACAGCTAATTAATGTATGATGCATTATGGTACGATCTGAGGCTCAAATGCCTGACACGAAAATAATCCACGTACAGAGATGTGATAGCTGCAGAGAAGTTAGCTAAAGGGCAATTACCTGGGAGATGTATACCAGAGAGAACATGATAACCTCCTCTGTGACTAATAAGCTGTTATTCACAAGAGAAAGTATTTGATTCATATTTTATCAAGTAGGACAAATACCACTGCAGCAACCTGGAGCACTTCATTTTCAGGCTTTCAATGTCAGAGAGACAAGTACCTGTAACCTGGTGCAATGCTAACTTTTTTAATCACAAGTTAATTAAAAACAACTTTGATAATATTTTCCCTTCACACTAATTTCAGTTATATGTTTACACTACAAACTAAAAAAAAAGAAAAAACAAATCAGGGCTGGCATATTTGAGCTTTATAAAAACATAGTAGGCAAAAACGATTGTATTTGGTACATCTGTAGTGCTTGTTTTGTAATTTACAAGTAAACTTGCAGTTTTGGGGTTTATGCACATAAGTAGCAACTTGGGAGCTTTTAATTGAATTCAAATCATGATGGTATTTTAATGTTATACTGACTGGAGGAAGCAAAGTGATCAAAAGTTATAAGTGGAATTTATTTAATACCTTGAGGAACAAAGAAAAAAAAATAAGACTACTGCCTCCTAAAGTGATCTTGAAAAGCTATTAAGAAGCTGAAGAGCGCTTCTCCTCTGGGCTCCGCAGGCAATCACATTTTTCAACAACCTGAGGTCTGAGTCTGGGCACAGAACGGACAGGACGAACAATTCCTCCAACTGGAACGTGTGCTGCTCAAAAACAATCACAGACACCGAGTTTGCATCTCAGTTTTGGCTTAAAAACATATATACAAATTTAGCCCAGTTCTAAATATTTTATTTGCTTAGGGATAAGAAACTAAGAAACAAATATGCTCAATAACATTATAGCTTCAGTTTCATCTCCATGCGAGTCTTTCACTTACATAAGACTTTAATTTACTTCTTTGCAATTTAAAAAATTAACACTTTTAAGGCTAACTGTACAAAAATAAACTACTGAAATGGTGTAAAAAGACAAAGAGGTGGTAATTATTTAGGGTGTTTTCAGACCAGGAAAGTCCTTTGGTCTAATTGTTTGGTCCGGACCAAAAATGGACTTTTTTTTTTATTTGGTGCAGTTTGCATTCACATTGTGCTTTTTTGCAAATGAACTATAACTTGTAAACAAGGCCACGAGTGTGACGATCATTGCTCCCATTGGACAAAAAAAGGACAGGGGCGGGACTGAGCCACAGATCCAGAAGAAAACAAGGAAGTCCTGCGTGCTACGGTTCTGATGTGCACATTTTTGCTGATAGTACAACTGCAACAGCATTTAAAATGTCAGAAGCAGCTAATTTAATGGTGGTTCTGTGATGATATTCTAATTTTGGAGCGGCGTCAGTAAATGTGTCCCGCAACCCAAAGGAGACGAGGTGCTCTGCGTGTTCTGACCCACAACATGCCGGCAGYAGAGCTGCTAACAGGAGACGACGAAACAGGTATGTTTTCAGTTTATTTAGCTCAGCAACGGTGGCCTGTGAAGTCCAGAAAGGTGCATGTTTAATGCAGTTGGTTCGGTTAGAGTCCGGTCTGTTTTCACACCAGAAGCAAACTGAAGCAAACCGCACCAGAGTTCGTTTGGAAGCGGACCGAGACCACCTCAAAAAGCAGGTCTCGGTCTGGTTGTTTGATCCGCACCAGAGTTCACAGGAGTGTATTCACACCTGCACAAAAGGTCCGGACCAACGCTGGAAACGAACTCTGGTTCGTTTAAAGCGGAGAAAATTATCAGGTATGAATACGACCTTAGAATAACATTYATGTTCTTTTAAAAATAATGTAAACTTAACTTTTATTTAATGTGCACAGCGTTCAATACAAGTTTTGCAGTAATAGTACATGATAATATATTATACAAAGAGGCTCTTCCAGTGATAATTTTCATGAAGACATCTACTAACACTGGAAGCTCCAGCAAGTCCTGAGCTAGAGAATCTGAAAGGAACCACTCTGTCCCTGTAGACTAAGTAAGTATTTAAAATTTAATTCAAGGTTAGAAAATTTAATAAAATGTACAATATTTAATTCTCTAAATTAATTCATTAATTTGATCTGATGTGCTTCCTGTCTAAGATCTTAAAAGCTTAATTATCCTTAATTATTCATGAAGGTCACAACCAGCTTCTTAGCTACAACAGAACTGAAAACAAAACTGAGAGCAAGAAACTACTTGCAGCATAAAAATCGATGGTTTCTGACAAGTCTGATTGTATAATACTTAAGTCTGCCTTTGTAACTTTGTGGCAAAGCTACAAAAACATATGCCCGTTTCTTTAAACGCTGAAGCAAACAGGGAAAAATCTACGGTGATCWGTATGGAAAATACAGTCAGTCAGGTGTGAGCGTTCTTCCACAGAGACACTGAATGTGGATGGAACTGGTCAGGCACTTCAGCCTCATTGTTCTGCAGCTGTCAAATCAGTGAGGCAAGGACCAAGCAAATTCAAAGAAAGCATTCTCAAAGACAACTCTGCACCCTGCCAAGTCAAATCCACAAAACCCATTTTCCATTGATCTCATAGACAGCTAAACTGAGTGCTTCATTCCTGCCCTTGTCACTTTGATGGGGGGAGATAATGTAGCTCTGCCAGCAGCATTAGCAATTTAATGCATAGCTGCCTGTATAGTTTCAGGCCACAAAGCCTGTGATGACTAGCAATGCCACTGCAGCCTCTCCTTGCACCAATTTAGCTCCGCGACAAGCAACACAAACCTAACAACACACCTCCAGATTGACATCTTATGTGAGGAGGAAGGGAAAATGTAGCCTCGATCAACTTCAAGTAATACGAGAAGATCAGGAGTGGCTTAGCTTTAGATCATTTGTGAAGCCCTGCAGGCATTATAATTTACTCTAATCATGGCCTGCTTCCATGATTACTAGCTTCCTATTCAAACATCATCGGCATGCCCGAGTCAGCTTCAAGGCTTTTTATAAGAAAGTTACCAAAACGGCTTAACCATTATTAAAAACATAACCAGGAGGAATTTGTATTTTCCTAACTGGTCCATGTTGGCTCTGCATTAAGGCTGCACAATATACTGTTTATTATTGCAATTTCGATGTGTGAAGTATTTATTCTGTGTGAGGAAAAATAAGGTAACCACATCACATTTTTTATCATAATTGCTTGTTTTCCTTATATTGTGCACCCCTAGTTTAACAAAATAACTTTTGATGCAAACCAGCACTCCGTGGACCAATCAGCTACAATAGGTGAATAATCTACATGTGAAAAATTAAAAGCTAAAAAAAGGCAGAAAAACTACATCCACACAACATAACACCAATAAG